AATTGAAAGACTCTTGGCTGGCTACAAAAAGCGTTTACAAGCTGTGATACTTGCCAAAGGGGGCAGTACAAGATATTAACTCTGCAGGGTGCCCAAACTTTTGCAGACGCCCATTTTTTTTGTTTTCTGTTATTTTGAAAGTGTAAATGATGGAAATAAAAATCTAACTTTTGTTGACATATTATAAGAATGTCTAATCTGTAATTTGATGCCTTTTGGAGATTTTTCCATCTTTCCTTGGCTTCTTTATGCACATTAATACAAATTTTTAGCTGGGGTGCCCAAACTTTCGATCCCCACTGTATATATTTACACGGCTCAAAAAATGAAAGGAACACTATAATCAGAGTCTAGCATCAAGTCAATGAAACTCCTGGGATATTGATCTGGTCAGGTAAGTAGCAGAGGGGGTTGTTCATCAGTTTCAGCTGCTGTGGCGTTAATGAAATGAACAACAGGTGCACTAGATGGGCAACAATGAGATGACCCCCAAAACAGGAATGGTTTTGCAGGTGGAGGCCACTGGCATTTTTTTCCCTACTCATCTTTTCTGACTGTTTTTTCACTAGTTATGCATTTGGCTAGGGTCAGTGTCACTACTGGTAGCATGAGGCCATACCTGGACCCTACAGAGGTTGCACAGGCAGTCCATCTCCTCCAGGATGGCCCATCAATACACAACACATGTCATTGCCAGAAGGTTTGCTGTGTCTCCCAGCACAGTCTCAAGAGCATGGAGGAGATTCCAGGAGACCGGCAGTTACTCTAGGAGAGCTGGACAGGGCCGTAAAAGGTCCTTAACCCATCAGCAGGACTGGTATCTGCTCCTTTGTGCAAGGAGGAACAGGATGAGCTCTGCCAGAGCCCTACAAAATGACCTCCAGCAGGCCACTGGTGTGAATTGTCTCTGACCAATCAGAAACAGACTTCATGAGCGTGGCCTGAGGGCCTGACATCCTCTAGTGGGCCCTGTGCTCACTGCCCGGCACCATAGAGCTGGATTGGCATTTGCCATTGAAGCAGCATTTATACTGCTACAAAAAATTATCAGATCTCAATGGGGAAAAATATCATGCTGGACATCTGACTGATATGGTCCCGGCCAATGATTGACCACCAGGCAGTGGTGTATTTAGGTTTTGTGCTGCCCTAGAGAGAGAGAGACTCACCACCACAGCTCTCCAGAATCCCGACTGCCTTCCCGATGAGTAGGGGAAAAAAATGTCAGTGGCCTCCACCTGTAAAACCATTCCTGTTTTGGGGGTTGTCTCATTGTTGCCCATCTAGTGCACCTGTTGTTAATTTAATTAACACCAAAGAAGCTGAAACTGATGAACAACCCCCTCTGCGACTTACCTGACCAGATCAATATCCCAGGAGTGTCATTGACTTGATCCTTGACTCTGATTACAAATTCTTCCTTTAATTTTTTTTGAGCAGTATATATTTGTGTATATATATATATATATATATATATATATATATATATATATAAATACACACACAGTCTCACAGTCTCCCCTATTATGTATGTGACCTTGTTGATGGATAAATAATAAAAAAAAAGAATTAATAAATAAAATAATAATCATTTTAAAAATATTTTTATATATATATACAGTTGTGTTCAAAATAATAGCAGTCAGACATCACTAACCGGATCAATCACTGTTTTTGGTGGAAATGATATTTCTACATGGCAAATAATTTCCTAGCAGGTGTAGTAGAGTCATAGAAATCCAACAGACCCAACAGTCATGACATGCATGCTGCTGATTCTGTGTCATTGAATCACTCATTGAAAGGGGCGTGTTCAAAATAATAGCCGTGTGGAGTTCTATTAGTGAGGTCATTCATTCTTTGAAAAACAGGTGGCAATTATTGCCCTTATTTAAGGAAGGAAGGCAGCAAATGTTGGACATGCTGGTTACAGTGCATTTCTCTCTGAAATTCTGAGGAAAATGGGTCGTTCCAGACATTGTTCAGAAGAACAGCGTACCTTGATTAAAAAGTTGATTGGAGAGGGGAAAACATATAAAGAAGTGCAGAAAATGATCGGCTGCTCAGCTAAAATGATCGCAAATGCTTTAAAATGGCAACCAAAACCTGAAAGACGTGGAAGAAAGCGAAAAACTACCATTGGAATGGATAGAAGAATATCCAAAATTGCGCGGACTCAGCCAACAATCAGCTCCAGGAAGATGAAAGAAGGTGTGACGTTCCCTGTGAGGACTGTTACAATTAGAAGACCCCTATGTGAAGCCAAGCTATCTGCAAGAAGCCCCCGCAAAGTCCCACTGTTGGAAAAAAGACGTGTGCTGAAGAGGTTACAATCTGCCAAAGAGCACATTGACCGGCCTAAAGAGAAATGGCGCAACATTTTGTGGACTGATGAAAGTAAGATTGTTCTTTTTGGGTCTAGTGGGCGGAGACAGTTTGTCAGACGACCCCAAAACACTGAATTCAAGCCACAGTACACTGTGAAGACCGTGAAGCATGGTGGTGCAAGCATCATGATATGGGGATGTTTCTCATACTACGGTGTTGGGCCTATTTATCGCATACCAGGGATCATGGATCAGTTTGAATACATCAGAATACTTGAAGAGGTCATGCTGCCTTATGCTGAAGAGGAAATGCCCTTGAAATGGGTGTTCCAACAAGACAACGACCCCAAACACACCAGTAAACGTGCAACATCTTGGTTCCAGACCAACAAGATGGACGTTATGGAGTGCCAGCCCAATCCCCGGATCTTCATCCAATAGAAAACTTGTGGGGTGACATCAAAAAATGCAGTTTCTGAGGCAAAACCAAGAAAAATAGAGAAGAACTGTGGAATGTGGTCCAATCATCCTGGGCTGGAATACCTGATCACAGGGGCCAGAAGTTGGGTGACTCCATGCAACACAGATGTACAGCAGTTTCTCAGAAACAGTGCGACTACAACCAAATATTCATGAAGTCATTCAAAGGAAAGCAAAATCTTCAAACATTTCTCAGTTTATATAGTGAATGTTGGAGTTTGTAAAGAAGAATACAAACACTGCCGATTTTTTTTGAACCGTCTAATATTCACTTTTCTTCAATTTATTTAGAGGAACAACACAAATTTGATGTATTTTTCTTCATGTTTTGATTTGGAATAGAATGTGTCGTGTTCCCAATGCATTTTTGTGTGGATGGAAATAAAAGCTATTAGAAGGATTTTCAGCTTTTATTCACTTTTTTTCAACACACTGCTATTTTTTTTGAACACAACTGTATATATATATATATATATATATATAATATATATATATATATATATATATACACAAATCAGTTTTTGGATGTAAAAGATTTTTTAATTAAAATAAAATTGCCTAACACAGTTATAATTTCCCTTTAAATAGAAAATGACAAAAACTGCTAATTTCCCGCTGCTGATTACTCGACAACAGAACAAAAGTGTTTAGGCATTATTCAATCTACTCATGATACATGGTACATGGTTACAGACACGTGTGATTGGATCCCTTTAAGGAGCAAACATCTATTCCTGCAGTGGGTGGTGTAAGAAAGAGACACCGTTCCGTGTGAAATGTAATTTAGGATATCCTGGAACAGATTGTATCCTGTCTACAAAGACACACAGAGACTCTACAGGAGGCGCCTACGCTCAACTGGTATAGATCCAATCCGGGATATACACAGAGAATGGTGGTGGTGTTAAAGGGAACCTGTCATTGCAAGTATGAGCTGAAACCAATATAAGCTCCTAATGGGGGGGGGGGGGGGGGGGACTGTGGCTATAACCAAGAGCCTGCCATCAATAAGGTAGGTCCCACACGTCCCTCACTGGGCCAGGACTTGAGCTTTCCAATCACAAGGAAGCATAAGCATTAGCGATTGCTGAGCTACAGGTCTGACTCAGTAAGGGGTGTGTCAGACGGCAGGGGTGTGGTCTCGGCAGAGAGACCGCTGCTTCCACACACAGAGAAAGGGCCTCTCTGCAGCATGCTGGCAAGGGACAGGCTTTTCTACCTAGGCTGTGGCTGCTTTCTAAGAAAATAACTTGTAAAGTGTTGAACCATTTTTTTGTTTCACAGCGCATTTATGAGCATGATGGGAAAAGGTGCAATTTTGCACGCGTTCCTGGCACGCACATGTGTGAACGTAGCCTTAGTTTTACTTTAACTACTAAGGAGTTAATGAGAAATTGATTATATTTTTCTAAATGATATAATATGCAGTTACAAGGTCACACTGTTCATCTACATATGAATGAAATAATAAATACAATGTAACAATACTTTGACACATTGTATTTGCTCAATGACACTTGTAGATTATCTGCAAGTGTCATTTTACATAACAGTGGCTGCCTTTTGACAGCTGCTCCCGATGTGGAACACAAAGCAAATCCTGGCTGTCATTTTGACAGCCAGTAATTACCAATAAAAATGGTGGTGGAAGAGGCGGCAAAGGATGAGGAGCTGAACATAGTAGAAGCACCCTATAACTTTTGCTGACGCTGAAACTTTCTAGGACTCCTCTGTGATCAAGACCTGGTGGGTGGGGTGAAATGCGTCAAAATTGTGGTTGGGATGGCTGAGGGCCATCCCACACATCATCAGATCTAAACGGGTGGTCAGAGCAGCGTCCTTTTTTCCCCTCTTCCTTTCTAGGACATTTCTTATGTTCACTATTTTTTTTTTTTTTTTTTTATCCTCAAGTGGGCAAAGCCAAGGACAAGTCATCCTCTGTGATTGGCTTAGGGCAGATCTGAGATTTAAACACAATACTCCAGACAACAGTGCCCGCCCCCCCGAGGGGATCTATCACTGGCACTGTGTGGAAAGGGATAGTGCAGATACTTTGTTGCATTTTAGAGATAAGACGTGATCTGGGTAACAGACCAACTTCTGCTCTATTTTCCGCACATCCACCCCATGAGCCCCAGATATATCTCCATCATCTTTTCGAGTGATAGAACAATGTGTGCTGGGGACACGTACAGCTTGATTATGTGAGGGTGCCGGAATAACTTGAGGTTCTGGATTTCACGCTTGATTTTACCCGACCACGTCCAAATTACGGATCTTCTGTCTGTTCAAGATCTTCACAGCCACTTTATGTCCGGTCAGCTGATGTTCCCCCACTGGAAAGAGAGATAGGAGACTGTTAGAGCCCCCCCTTGTCTGTATTATTCCTAGAATTATCTATTTATCTCATAAAGCGCTGAGCAAACTGTTGGCGCTATATAAATCCTGTGTAGTAATAATAATAATAATAACAATACTTTAACTCTATATCCTAAAAATCCTATATTTATCCTATCTATCAATCTATCTATCTATCTATCTGTATCTAATCATCTATCTACTATCTCACTTCTATTCTATCTATCTATCTATCTATCTATTATCCTATCTATCTATCTATCCAATTATCTATTATCTATCTATCTATTATCTATCTATCTATCTATCTATCTATCTATCTATTATCTATCTATCTATCTATCTATCTATCTATCTATCTATCTATTATCTATCTATTATCTATCTATCTATCTATTATCTATCTATCTATTATCTATTATCTATCTTCATCTATTATCTATCTATCTATCTATCTATCTATCTATCTATCTATCTACTTATCTATCTATCTATCTATCTATCTATCTATCTATTCAATCTATCTATATCTATCTATCTATCTATCTATCTATCTATCTATCTATCTATTATCTATCTATCTTTAGTCTATCTATCTATTATCTATCTATCATTATCTATCTATCTATCTATCTATCTAACTATCTATTATCTATCTATCTAATCTATCTATTCTATCTATCTACTATCTATTTATTTTATCTATCTATCTATCTATCTATTTATTATCTATCTATCTTATATATCAATCTCTCTCTCTCTCTTCTCTCTCTCTCTCTCTCTCTACTCTCTCTAATCTATCTATCTATCTATCTTCATATTATCTATCTATCTATTCATATCTATCCTTTCTATCTATCTATCCATCTGTAACGGAACCGGAACCCAGATCCGCACTGAGTTTTTCCGTTATAGCACAACTTCCCCCCTGTCCGAACACCATCCACGGACCACACGCCTCGAAATCCCTCAGGAAAAAAAGACAACACCCATCTCTTACTAAAACAAGGAAGCCAACGTACTCATTATTTACACAAAACACCCCACAACAAATAAACAGAGGCACAGAAACACAACCAGGAACAGGAAATACATCAAATAAGCCCACCCCTCTACCAGTGGGAAGGGCTACAGTATAGTCCAGGAAACACCACCTCACTCCCACCCTCCCCCCCATCCAACCAACACAGAACAATGAGATCCCTCGCAACCACCCACCCCAACACCCATCCTCATACTCCCCCCCTACCCCCCACACCACCGCCCAGCCAACAGTACACCCCATACCCCCGCCATGGACGAAGACCCCACAATTGGGGGTACCCAACATGGTAGTACCCCAATGGACCATCCATGTGGGCCTATTAAAAGGACAGCCACACCACCTATACACCAGGACCAGACCCCATACACACCTGTAACCCTGCGCCACCAGGGTGGGGTTAAACATAATGATTTGGGGACCCATACCGACCCACACCAGGTCCCCCCCCCCCAAAAGTCGCCCCGTCCCACCACTACCTTCTATCCCCATATTAGTTCTGGGTCTAACCATCTATCGATCTATCTAATCTATTCTGTAAACACCCCCGAAGACTTATCCAGCCATCTATCTATGCATTTCCTGTCAGTGGTCTCCAAACTGCACCCTCCCCCCCACTGACACCAATATGGTGGGTACTATAACCCCACACTACCCAATGATGGGTGCACTATATCCCACCTACTGACACCAACAGATGGGGCACTAATTCACCACCCGGTCCCCTGCACGATCCAATCAATGAGCAACTCCCTATGATGACCCCATAATGATATGGGCCCCTTCCCCCGTACCCCATATCCTCCACCCCCCCACCCATGGGACACTTACCCTCCCCACAGCCAATGGTTATAGGTCCTTACCAGTACCGCTCATCCCCGCTTATCCAACACCCAATGCATGGGGCACCAACCCCACCGCCACCCTTTTAACACACGCACTCTTTACTCCCCATCCCGAATTAAAATAACCCGCATAAGATTAGTCATCTCCCCCACTCACCACCCCAGGGACCCCCCACACCCTCCCGACACCCCACCTGCCTACCCCCGTACTCCTCCCGATCATGTAACAACCCCACCAAATCAACGCCCACCACATGAGACCCTTGTTTGGGGGTACTGTTGCCTCCCATCGGACACTTGTGTGGAGTACTTCCACCTCCCCCTTCCACTCCCAACAGCCCGCCCCTGCATACCAAATGAGGGGCACGACATACCCCACATAGTATATCCCACTACCCCCTCCCAGACCCACGATTTACCACGTACTCACCCCACCACCTGTCCTCCTCCACTGACAACCCACCACACAATGAGTTCATATTCCTCCCACCCCTCAATCGATACAACCATGGGGCACTATTCCATTCCACTTGACACCAAAATGTCACACCCCGTTGGTGCACTACTACCTCCCCTGACACCAATGGGACAATCAAAAACCACCAAGACGACCATTCATGGGGCACAACCACCTCCACTTGAAAACAATACACTATCCTCCAAACCCTGCTAAACACCAAGAAAACCACATCACAATCCCCCCGAACCCCCTAACCCCAATGATCCCAATCCTACCCACCCTCACTCCCACCAAGTGATCCCCTCAGACCCACCCACCCCCTCACCCCCATACCACCAATCTCATGGGGCCCCATTCCGCGCCCCCAACACCCCCATCATAACCAGCTAACAATATATCGTCCCCTCCCCACCCCCTCGCGGCCCAATACCACCAACAACCCCCTGACTCCCAACTTGACCAAGTCCACAATACCCCGTCCCCCTATGACACCCAATTCAGATGGTCCCAATATCCTTACCACTCCCCCACAACACAGACCCACTACCCCCACTGACACCCCCATCCCGCCCGTATTCCTGGCTACCAACCCCCCCAACAGCTGGGCCGCACCACCTCCCACCTCTCCATTCCAGAAAAACACAAATATTATTATAACCATTCAACCATCTATCTATTCTATCCCATTACCAATAACTACCACCCCCCACCCCACACACACCACCCTACCCCACCAAAACCCCCTATCCCCCCCCCCCCCCCCCCCCCCCCCACCCCCCCCCCCCCCCCCAACCCCCCAACCCCCCCAATTATCTATCCTATCCCACCTATCTATTATCGTATTATCTATCTATCTATTATCTGTCTATCTACCCGATCATCTTATTATCTATCGCTATCGTGTATTATCTATCTATATCTATCTGTAACATAAAAGACAGTAATGTTGGTCAATAAGGGGTTATAGAAAGCACTCAAAGCTGGTACCAGGACTTGAACAAGGAGTGGGGAGTGAAGGGCATCAGCTGCCCTGGGCCCTGTGGTATCATGGTGAGGTGGGTGGCACCATAAAGAGATTGAAGGGAGGTGATATGGTAGAGGAGGGGAGGGGATATATTTTTTAGTCAGAGGACTCCTTTTTTTTTTGGTGGGGGATTTGTGCTAGTGGGTATGATTGCGGGTTCCATTTTTGCTAGGAGGGGAAATTTAGGATGCGGAGGATTTTGTGATGGGGAAAGTTGCTGTCGGGGGGATGTTTATATATAGGGGATATTTGAGGGGCTAGTAACGGATTTGTGCTAGGAGGGGTAACCCCTTTTTTGGGCGGAGAGAAGGGGAATGTTGTTGCTAGGAGGGATGATTGTTCCCTTTGTTTTTTTGGAAGTGGAATCACATCTGTGCTGTGAGGAACTTTGGAGATGAGAGAGGATTTGAGCTAGGAGAGGGGGATGGAGGAATTTGCTGTCTGATGAGGAAGTGGCAATGCAGCAGGGGTGTTAGATGTGCTCTCTCGTTTCAAATTGGGGCTTGCTGAAACATATATTACCTTCATACAGCCTTTGGAGGGTGGGGGGCGCCCTCCTTTGGCATATTCACACTGGGCTTTCAAGATGATTCTCATCACCGGCACTGGTTGTTACCTCAAACTCTCTTGCCTAGCCCCTATCTACAGGAATCTACTTGATATATAAGTCTCACTCCCCCCATATATACTTTCCCTCTAACAAATTGTGAAATGGAAACACTATGAAATCCCATCAGATCTCAATGGGGAGGAAATTCTCCTGCTGGATCTCTATACTGGATATGGACTGGGTGATGTGTGAGAAATCGTAAGGACGCCCCATCGCTTGATAGAAATGAAAATGATCGACCAACGAGGACTGAAAAAATTCAAAAGACACCCCAAAATCAAAGTGAAAAAATTATGCAGCAGGTGAGTCCATTCTGCTGAAATACATTGCAAGGGCAACTCATAATGGTCCTCAGTAGTCTGTAAGCCCCCCACGTGCTTGTATGCATGCCTGACCAAAAACCAGACAAAAACGTTCGGTGGGGGGCTCCTAATGAGAGGAACCACGGATGGTGGTCCTGGGGATCTCCTCCCACATCTGGACCAGGACATCACTGAGCTCCTGGACAGTCTGAGGTGCAACCTGGCGGCATTGGATGGACCGAAACATGACATCCCAGGTGATGTTCTATTGGATTTAGGTCAGGCAAGCGTGGGGGCCATTCAATGGTATCAATTCCTTCATCCTCCAGGAACTGCCTGCATACTCTCCCCACATGAAGCTGGGCATTGTCGTGCACCAGGAGGAACCAGGACCCACTGCACCAGGAGACACCCCAGGACCCAACCACCAGGAGAACCTAGGACCAACTGCACCAGGAGGAACCAGGACCCACTGCACCAGGAGGAACCCTGGAGCCACTGCACCAGCGTAGGGTCATGACAATGGGTCCAAGGATTTCATCATCCCGATATCTAATGGCAGTCAGGGTTCCATTGTCTAGCCTGTAGAGGTCTGTGCGTTCCTCCATGGATATGCCTCCCCAGACCATCACTGACCACCACCAAAACAGTCATGCTAAACCATGTTACAGGCAGCAGAACGTTCTGCCACGGCT